ACTTCGGCCTAATAGGTCAATTGGCTCGTATGTAGACCGTTTCTTTTTTTACCTTCATTAATATCCTAGCTAGCAGCACTCTCGTTTTTGATTAAATTTACTAGGCACTTTGCAGCGAGCTATTGGAGAGCCTCAGGTTGCCTTTGAGCAGGGAACAGGAAAAGAAGGTACCATCCTTCTCGAGGAATACTACGTGCAGAAAAACATCCGGATGGTGGATACCAGGGGATTTTTTGAGAGCGATGAAAAGCTCCTGGATGAGTGCCTCAAAATCATGTCTGGAAGGTAAATTATAAATTGCGTGCGTTATTTAGGTTGGCCCGAAGTTGAGCCACGTCTCGCTTGAGAGATAGGCCATCAGTATTGAAAGTCCCGGCTCACGTCCCTCTATCAGGTTATGTATGGTAAGTTTTCTAAGCTGAGAATATAATTACTCTTTGAAAAATGTGAGTTGAGAACAGCTTGTAAGGCGCTCATAATCAAGAATTAAACAGCGATGACTCTTAAAATACGCGATCCTGGAGAGGGAAACGAAGGATAGTGGTAGTGTCATAGCGGCAATATAAGCAGTCCTTGGACTTGCGACTAAGCAAGTGATCGAGGCTCTAAGACCAAGGCAATTCACTCTTACAGTTCTATTTTCACCCAATGAAGTATGCAATTAACGCATCGCAGTGATGGGCAACTCTCAAAATGACTTTTGTTGTTATTGTTTATATTTAAGAATTCGTGCAGGAGATGAGATCGTGCGGACCTATGACCAGTTAAGTCAGGAGTCGGACGCCGCGGCAAAACGAGCTCCAGCGCTCTCTAAGTACGCGCACGCCGTAATTTTTGTTGTGAAGGCAAACGATCCGCGTCTGAAGGACGGCAAGTACAAGGACACACTCCAGAAGATCAGAGAGCACTTTCGAGAAGATGGTAATGACAATATTCACCAAAATAGTTCATTCCTCTCATAGATAAAATTAAAATTATACCTATTGTAGCCTCGATGACAATTACGGCGGA